ACCTCTGAGGGCCCCCCTGGGTGTTAGGCTTGGGCAGCATCTCCTCCCCATCTCATGGGGTGGGGGGTGGCCGGGTCCCTCAGGACAACACAGTCCACGAGGCCGCAGGTGTGGCCGGAGCGTGTGCCACCTGCGTGTGCCTCGGTGCCCCCACTCCTGGGGGGAAAACAGTCCCTGCAGGAGAGCTGCTCCTCGGCCGGCTGGGACTCCCTGCGCTCTGCAAAGCCGCAGGAAACGAGAATTAAAATAACTCGCTGAGTAACAGGGGAATCTTTTAGGCCCCTTGCTGAAAACGGGGCACGTTGCTCATTGGAGGCGTTACTGTGTCACCGCAAAAGACCCAGTGGTAGCAAACAAAGTCTTGCAATTATCTGGTGAACAGAATTGAAACTGTAAATGTTTCATTGTCCTCTCTTCCAGTTCTCTGACAGAAAATTGGCTATGGCTGCAGTTACAGAGCAGGAAACCCAGCTGTGTGGCAACTGGTAAGAAATGAAACTGAATACTTGGCAGAAGTGAGTCTGTGTGTTGCTTGCTGTGCTTTTGAATAAGGACGGAGGTCAAATGAGTAAGCAATATATATTCTCTTTGAATGCTATAAAACGCCAGAAAATGTAAAGTAATTATGAGAATACCTTATTTTTAGGAACTTTTGGGTTTTCTTTTTGCCTTTTTGAGTATTAGCATCTTATAAAGCCACTTTTCCAACCAAATTAGTCAAATTTCTGACTTAGAGGTGACTAGAGAGAAATCGAGTTGTTAAGTAAAAATGAAGAATTCCTTTTCCTTTTCCTTTTCCTTTTCCTTTTCCTTTTCCTTTTCCTTTTCCTTTTCCTTTTCCTTTTCCTTTTCCTTTTCCTTTTCCTTTTCCTTTTCCTTTTCCTTTTCCTTTTCCTTTTCCTTTTCCTTTTCCTTTTCCTTTTCCTTTTCCTTTTCCTTTTCCTTTTCCTTTTCCTTTTCCTTTTCCTTTTCCTTTTCCTTTTCCTTTTCCTTTTCCTTTTCCTTTTCCTTTTCCTTTTCCTCTTAACAGGATGTGGACAGAATGTTTAATTCTGAGTTTTGCTTTAACAGATGTGGGGCTTAAAAGCAGAGATGTGAAAATAGAGTCAGTAGGTTGTTTCTCTTTGATAACAAATATCTTTGGAAGCTGCAGTGTTGGTAATACGTTTACTGATAATGATTTGATCGCAGAAATCTCATTTTAGATACAAGCAACTAAAGAAGTGAATAGCCTTTCAAAGAGAAACATCGGAACCGAAATAGTTTCTTGCAAAATCAGCCTAGTTTGTTTGCAAGAAGTGAGTCTGTGCTGTTTAGACAGTGCCGCTGGACTTTGTTGCTTTGTCAGACCATTGGCTTGTTGGGGCCTGGCAAGGGATAAAACTGAACAGCTGTAGTGGTTTTCCTTTGTGGCAGGGAAGGGTGCTTAGTAATAGGTTATAAAGTTAATTTTGGTGTTTTGAAGGCTGATTTATTGGTGGGAGGTGGGAGGGACTGATAACTTTCATCTAGAAATAATGCTACCTGCTTGAGGTAGAAATAAGGGCTAAGCTCCTACTGCTTTGGTTCCACCTGTTCTTTTTCAATAGACCTCTTGTTTGTTTGTTTGTAAGCCTTGCATCCTCCTGAAGATAGGAAAACAAGTATCTTGGAAATTAAGTGAGTTAGGGATTTTGGGCTGCAGAGTGGTATGTTCACTGTTAGTCTTCACTTAGCAGGTCTAGAGTAACAGAATCTGCTGTTTAAATTTTTTGTTTGTTTTCTCCAAGCAGAGCACTAGTAGGTCTTCTCTGATAGCCAAGTTCTTCTTAAAAGAAACTTTTATCTTTTCAACTGATCTATTAATTTGGACTTGGTGGTAACTTGTATATGCTACGAAGCTTCTCTTTCACGTAAGGAAATTAATTCATGTTGATTTTTATCTTAATGCAGTGTGAAAAATGTGACCTCCGCATGCTGTATGCGTTCATATGCTGATTATATGGAACGCTGAGGTCTGGTTGGGCTTACCTTTGTCTTTAGTTACTCAGTTCTCTAAACTATGAATCCTTAGAAAACTTTCTTAGGATTTTCTTTGAAAAGCTGCTTGAAGTTGTTGTCAGTGTATTTTTCAGAAAAAGTAACCCTCTCTGTCTGTCTTATAGCAAAAAGGATATTCCTGTTGCCAATTTCACCATCCATGAAATCTACTGTAGCAGAAACATTGGAGTATGTCGCTACTGCAGTGAATCAATCCCAAAGACTGAAATGAAGAACCATATTGAATCTGAACATGTGCAGGTAATGAACAATTTTTGCCTATAAAGTTGCTGGCTTTTATGGAAAAGAATCTAATGAGATATGTTTGTTGTAGGTTACCTGTAAGTGTAGTATGAAGATAGAAAAAAGCCTCTTGGAGGATCATAAGGTTGGTGGACTTTGTATTTTTCGACCCTCGGAAGGTACTCAAAGCGTTTCCGAGCACTGATTCTGGAGTCTTTCTGTCAGCAAAGACCTATATACCAACCTGTGATTTATGCATATCTTTGCCGTATTTAACCATGCTTTCTAAGTTTGCACGCTCTGAAAAAATGCAGTTGGAAACTGCTTTAAAATGGTGTAGGCTGCTCAAAGCTCTGTATCAAAAGGCTATCTGTGATAACAAGCAATTTTGTCCTTATTAGTGATTAAGATGGAGAATGGTACGCTGCTTCTGAAGTAGCATAATACGATTAACTGGGTTGTTTTTTTCATTCCCTTACTCTTACACGTTTTGGTCTTCACTGCAGTCATTATATGAGTTTTAAGAGCTGGTCATGTCTGAACAGACTTTTAAAATGAACCAATATAGGACAGTGGGATTTTTCTGAGTTACTGAATCCAGCTCTATGCTGGCACGTTATAAACATGCCTGTTATAAACTTCAGTGTTTTATCTTCTAGTGGGCTTATTTAAAGGTAGCTCTGGAAGAATTACCACGCGAGTCTACTTATTGGTGCTGCTTTATTGGGTGAGGAAAAAAGTGATTTTCTTGGAGAAAATGCCCAGTGCAAAACACCTCAAGTTTGCACTTGGTTTATCCTGCAAGTTGGTGTGTAGAGCCTTTCTTTCCTTTTTATTTATAAAGCAAATGATGATGTCTTACTGCATCATCTTCTATTATAACATATATTTTACTGCATCATCTTCTATTATAACATATATTTCACATAAATTTAAGCAAGCATATGCTTAAAGTTTTACAAAGTTAACCCCTTTTTAAGGGTGACTTATCTGGCGTTTAATGTAGGGTAAAGAACGTATGCAAGCAATTATTGGTGAGTAGTAAATGTGCTGTAAATCTGCTTTCTAATTTAGCACACACTAAGTTGTTTCTTTAGTACTACTTTCAATGAAATACAATTAGCATCGGATCTCAAGACCGTATTTAAAAACTAACTTAAAAAAACCCTCTGAATCTGCTGTTCAAGCATTACAGATTTTAAAAAAAGAATTCTGAAAGTCTTTTTTCCTTTTTTTCAGTATTATTTTTGTATGTTTTGTTTTTATGTTATTTTTTATCATGTTTTTCCTGTGCATGGTAATTCAACATAGGATGTTCTAAATAGTCAGAGTACCTCAACAGGCGTGTTTATGACCGCACAGGTTATATAGCATGTTCTTGTATTTCTTGCATAGTATCTTATTTCAGACTATTCTTTGGTGCAACTTTGTATCTGGCTAGAGAAACAATAGGCTGCTCAACTCTTAAGCAAACTGAGACCCTTCTCCCTCCACCCGCCCCCGTGTTGCATAAGTCTTCCATATGTGAAAAATAATCCCTTTTCCTCTTTTTTAGGCATCAGCGTGCCCTTTGCGTCCTGCGGTCTGTCAACATTGTGACATACAGCTTACATTCAATAAGCTTGACGATCATGAAAGTTACTGTGGAGCTAGAACTGAGAGGTGCAGTGGGTGCGGTCTTAACGTAATGGTAAAAGATCTAAAAGAGCACCCTCGAGTCTGTGGGAAAGAGGCGAAACAAGTAAGAGTAAGCAGAACAGTGCCTCGCGATGAGGATGCAAATTTGCGTTCCCTTCGAGACATTAAAAACCAACTAAGATCAGATAGCTATGCTGGGCCTTTGTGGAGAATGCCCAGGGTGCTAGAAAATCAGCTTTACAGCGGTTGCGTAGGAGACAAAACACTTAAGGACATTAGTAGAAGAAATGTTTCAGCTGTACAAAGAAATCGGAATCAAGGTAAGGTGTAGATAAGGGTAATAATTTGCTTCTAATTTGACATTTGGTGGCTGATCCGAGTATAAGATTTTGTAACTGCTTTATGTGAAATTACTGAATCATGAAAACTGCAGAGGCAATATGAGTGGGACTTTTTTCTACTGTTGAATAGAATTGTAAATGTATAAGCCAATTAAAAAGAGAATTGCTGAGATACCTGGTGTTAAAGGCTAGTACACGGCCTGTTCTATTATCAGAACAAGTAGCTAGTTTAAAAATGAAATTGGAGTTGTTGGCTCACTGCAAATTCTGTCCATTTTTATTTAGCAGCTGTACTCTTCTTTGCTTCAGTTAAGTAAAGGGTAGGTAAGATCTGTATGTGGGTTCACATACCTAGTGCTGAGCATTTCTGCAATAGAGAAGCCTGTTTGGACATAGCTGAGATTTATAAATGCCTCTGCTCTTTCCACTGAAGCCTCTAATCTCTTACCTCAACATGCAGAGGGTCATGTCGTGTTTTAAGACATACCCTTTCCTTGAGCTCTCTGCTGAATGTATGCTCTGCTTTATGTTTTGGGCCACTCAGGAGACTTAACACTGCAGAATACTAAATTATAGTCCTCATTGTAGAGGACTGCCTCACTTGTAGAAATAATTTCTGGGTTTATTAATAAAGCTAGATGATCTATAGAACTATAGCTTGTAGACCACTTGTGCTAAATTCAATAGAATGTTCACAAATAGGATTTTTACCCATGTGTAAGCTTTATTTAAAACTCTTTATATAATCCATACAAATTAACTACTCCCAATATTGGAAATATGACAGCATGAGGGAGAAGCTTAGCCTTTTTTCAGACATCGTTAATTCAGACTTGAGCGCTGTCTTGGAACCCTACTATTTTTTAAGTGTAACTTTACTACCAGAAAGTGTTTCAGGGTTTTCTTCTGTATATGTATAACTTCCACTGTTCTCAGCTGTCATATCATTAAAAGGAATTAGTTTTCCCACTGATGTACTGAAGAAACAGGACTGAAATGTTTCAGCCTACAATATTACAATATTTTACAAGACTACAATATTTTATTTGGACCTTGTTCACAACGTAGGTTACAGAACTCTCCTCAGTATAACTTTCATAAAGCTCCCAGTGCCTGTTTTAACTAGCTGTTCAGTCTTAATGTCAAGCTATGAGAATTTACTGTATTGTCTGGTAAAATGCTCGGATGTTCTCAGGCTCAAGCCTTGCATGTGCTTGTCACGTAAGAGAAACAACTTTCTTCTTTGTCTCCAGCTCCCTTTCTTTGTTACAAACAAAAATAGGATGACCCTTCCTTCTTCCTCCAAAATTTGATGCAGGGGGTGTCCTTCTGAGGCTTTGAAAGGCTGAACTTGATGAGTGTCCACATCTGCACATGTGAAACCCTCTTAGTGTAACTAATCTAATGTATTCAAGAAGGTAACTGCTTGTTAGAGGCTTAACATTCTCTGAAATTTATGCTATTTATCTTTTGAAGAGGAGGAACTGGAGCAGCTGGAGGCAAATAAAAACACTAATTCTTCACTTTATGAAGAGGAGGATGCCAGTTTAGACTACATGTTGGCCCTTAGCCTGCAAAATGAGAATAGTCCTCACAACAATAGTGCAGCTGAAATTCACGGTGACTTCTGGAAAAACTACTACACCAAAGAGTCTGTGCCATCTGCCTTTCTTAATGGAACAGACAAGTCAAACATCTTCTCTGACTCTCTAGAGTCTTTTAGCACTTCAAACCACATAAAAAGTAAGTATAAACACTCTTGACTCCCCCCTCCCCCCCCCCTTTAAAGTTTGGGGCAAGGAGGAGGGAAGGACAGCATTCTCGGCATTGGAGTGTCAAAATTTTTTTTCTGGCATCTTAAAAATGCCAAAATTATGCTCTTTGCAACTCCCTCTAAATCATTTTTAGATAATTAATACACAGGATACTAGAATATGCTCTTCATGCAGTGTCTAGAATTTTTCCTTCCTTTTCCGAGTTGTATCTTCTGGTCCCTCAAAACTTAGTAATACTAGTGTTTAAATTAATAATGCCTCTTTGAAAAAGAAAAAATAAAGCAAGACAGTAGAGAAAGAAGGAATAAAAACTATAGTGAACTCTGACCTTGATATTTTAAAATGCTTTTCAACTTAAAGCACTTGGGAACAGTAAAAGATGTTTTTATTATCCTAGGGTTGCAAAAGTGCCTTCCATTCAACGTGAAACAGTAATATCTCTAAGTTGATGTCATTCTGAAGTGATTTTTTTTAAGAAACAAAATGAAACAGTCTGTGCCTGCCAGTGTTGAGAGATTAATAACAAATGAGTAGGTGACAACTTTTTTTGTTGAGTAAACATGATAGGAAGGGAGGATCTGGGGGAGACCTGAAGTTCCAGTTTCTTTTTATTTTAAAAAGAAAAAAGATACTGAAGAATTATCTGCAGTGGTAATAGGCATTTGTACCAGACCAATCAATACATATTTGAGCCAAAAAGGTTGTTCTCGTTCTGGGTGACCTGAATTTACATACATGAAACTGACCAAGTGGGACTAGAGCAACTCTTTCCTCAGCGCTTGCTCCTGCTGCTGTCCTGTGCCACAGAGCAGGAGTCTGTTGCTTAGGAGTTTAGAAGATCAGATGATCTGATTGCATCAGGCTTCTTTATGGTAGAGGATGTAATCTTTTACTTACCTTGCAGGCAATGAGATCATGTTGCCCTGTGAATTTTGTGAGGAGCTCTACCCTGCTGAAGATCTGATTCTGCATCAGGTTTAGTACTTTTTATATTGTATTTAGGGGTTGGCAGTAAAGATGTTTTTCTGTTACTGTGGCTTTAAAAGGGCGCGGTGTTCACTCAGTGACACTGTCAGAACTGTAGCCAAGTTTTTCCTTGCATAGCATGATTTTTATAAGGCCGCTTATGCTAAACAAGATAGCTGATTTTTCCCTGTTGCTTGCATAACAGACAGGTTGTAACCCAGCAAGTGCCTTTGCTTCATTCAGTAAAAGAAGTTATTCTCCAAATCCACGAAAATGTGATGGTTTGCATGATTTTGGATCCATAAGCAGTAGATCTCTTTATTCGTTCCGGCACCAAGCTGTCCAGGCAGAAGGAAACGTTATCATTCCATGTGAATTTTGTGGCATCCAATTAGAAGAGGAGGTACTCTTTCATCATCAGGTACTAAATCGGTCCTGGGACCGAATCTGATCTGTTGTATCAAATCTAGTTGTTCAAGAAGTAGACTAACTATAGCAATTCCTGTGACCTTTCGGGGCTGCACATTCCAGGAATCCATGTAATTGTCTCCTATGTCAGATCTTCCTGATCTTTCAAAGGCTGTTGAGTCATATCTAAAATGTTGTGGCATGCTGGGGCTCTTACTTTGAAAGCTCTTATAATGAAAACTAAAGAAAAGGCACTGAAATTGCACAATATAAGTATGAATTGCAGGAGAAGAGTACAGCTATAACTGGTGTAGTCAAGAGAGGAAGTGGACAACGTAGACTTCAAAGCTGGGAAATGGAGAGGTGTCCCTGATATAGGAGGGTAGATGTGAAGAGAGGAAAAGGGTCAAAGCTTGAATATGTCTGAAGCTAGGCCTAGCTATGCCTAAGAGAGAAGTGGTGGGTTTATAAAAAGATAATGGGTATATGTACATGCTGTAGAGGAGTTGTTAGAGTATTCTGATTCTTCTGTAGATCACTGTCTGATATTTCTAGTGTGGAAGGAGCACTAGATCTTGGTACTATTTGAGCTGTTATTGGTTATTTCTGCTTTTTTTTTTAAGAATGTTGGGCAAATGCCGGTTAGAGTGCTTGGTGCTTTAATGCTTCTGTTCACCCTCTAAGGAGCAGATTTAGGGGGTGGTGTGCATATAGAAGAAATAGTCCTCTAGAACTGGGTAGTGTCACAGAAGTTGTGAAAATGCTGAACTTGGTCATTTTCTATTTCAGGACTGAAGGAACTGAGGGGTTGTGGTGGTTCTTATAGCCCTAACTAATAAAATAACAAAGCTGTGGTTTTGAACAGGGGTGTGTGTGCTTTTTTTTCCCCTCCTCTCCCTTTCTTCTCCTTAGTGATAATAAGATCTGATAAACTGTCATACCTTATCCTTTCCTGAATTTCTCTCATCATCAGGTACTAAATCGATCCTGGGACCGAATCTGATCTTTTGTATCAAATCTAGTTGTTCAAGAAGTAGACTAACTATAGCAATTCCTGCGACCTTTCGGGGCTGCACGTTCCAGGAATCCATGTAATTGTCTCATTATTTAAAAATTGTGCTTGAAATGAAGGGGAATTTCTATCCACCTTCTATTACAGTTGGCTGTTGGAAGACTTGCCCCCTGCCTGCCTTCAATCTAATGATTTTTGGAAATGCAGACTCCAAAGACTGCTTTATCCATAAGCTTTTAATATTTGTGGTGGAGTTTGTGTGTGTGATGATCAGGACTTGTTAAGAGTTAGTGACTGGAGTTGAGTTGCTACAATCAAGTCTGTCTGCTAACCACAAAAAGGACACCCTTTATTTAATGTTTTGTGTTGCAAGTAGTGCTCTTGGTATGTAAAAAAGAGGTAAGAAACCTTTTCCTTTCTAGTTCATAATGGCATTGATACAGAGTTGACGCCTGGAACTTGATCAGAATTACACTAACAGCACTTCAGACTGCTTGCGACATGTTTGGGATTGGCTTTGCGGGGTCATTTTTAGGAGTGAGAGACGGAACGCTGAGTAACAGAGAATGGTCTTAGGTTCGCTGGCAGTGAGGCCCCGAATACAGCGTGGTTCTGTTCGGTAGGACAGACTTTGAAACTTTCAGTTCCATTTTTGCATAGGTCCTGTGATAGCTAGTAGCTATTCCTAAACTGTGTCTGTAGGAGAAAACGTGGGTGTCAGCAAGCCAATACCTGCCTCTTCCTAAAGACAAATCCCTCCTAATTGTAAGCTTTTTGAGAGGTGATGCTTTGCAATGTTTTCGTAGGAATAAATCTGAACGAGCTGTCATTTAAACGCCCAAATTTATCTTTTGCTTTAGGATCAATGTGATTTGCGCCCAGCCACAGCCAACCCGGCAGAAAGCTTGCCGTTACAGCAGCCACTGTCTCCTCAAGACAACATAGAGAGAAGGGAGTCGCCGGAGCTGGCTAGGAGACGAATCAGGCATCAAGGTGTGGGCAAAATGCAGACTTAGGCACGTTGTTTTCCTTACGTTTGCAGGATTGCTGTCAGTGTTCCAAACTGAATAGAAGTTCTTATTCTGTTCTGTCTCCAAAATGTAAACATTTTCAGTTGTCTACCACTGTTCTAGTTTTATGCGAGAAAGATTAAATCACTGAAACTCAATGTACTAAAGATCTTGGTTATGAAATGTGATGGTGCTGGAATAGAAATTAGGTCTAGTTTTGTTATAATTATCTGAATAGTCTCTAACGTCTCACGTTGCGTTTGCTATTCCCAGCATGTGCTCTCTTCTTGTCCTTTCAGGAGATGTTTCTCCTCGGCGTATAGAAGGCTTCAGGCAGCAGAGGCTCAGAGACTTTCCTGCACGAGGAACCAGACCACCAAATAACATGGTGAATGCCAGGAGTGCACCATTGACCTCTTCTGGTACAGCAAGAGCTAGTGATGCTCTGAATTTGAGAGGGAAGCCTAGGAAGGTAGCTGGCAATGAGGGAAGACCAAAGAGCAGAGGTGCAGTTGAACCTACAAGTGGGACAGCGCCACGTACGCGACCAACTCGAAACTTTCATTCAGAAGCCTTCTCGTCCAACTTCTCAAGAACTTCTCCAACGCGACCAAGGTAAGGTCTGTGTTGAGGTCCTGAAAACTATCTTCAGTTTCAAGCAGGCACACTGGGCCTGCCTAGTGGATAGGGCACTGTAGTGGCACTGTATAAGCAAGCTTTGCTCTGCTGGAAGTGGGGCAACAGTCTTAGGCTGGGCACGTTCTGATCTTTGGATAACGACAGCCCAACAGCAGAAATAGTGACGAATCCCTTCTGGTCCTCTGCCTGATTTCCCTACAGTGCAAATTTGAATTTCCTGATATTTGCCTGTGGCTAGAAGGGTTTCACTCAATTTAATTTGGCTGGTTGCCTACCTGACTCTCACACAGCAAAATTAGGTTTTTATATGAAAATAGAGTGAACAATAAGGTCACTTTGAGACTAAGCGTGGGATAACGTCTGCTTATCCACCCGTTGTAGCTGTCTCATCATCTTAGTTTTTTGGAGACTCAGTAAGGCTGGAACAGCTTTCTCTTTATGCCGTTAAAAAACAAACACACCTACACCTAAAATGAAATCCAAAAATCTTAGTGTGGTGCCTGTATAGCTCGACACCTACTTCATTTGCTGCTTAATCCAGTTTGCATTACATGTAGCCTGAATCAGCTCGGTTTTTTCTGCAGTGCATGTGTATTATTGAAGTGCATAAAGGCAAAATGAATAGAGCAGCTGGCTCTTCTGCTACAAAAATAACTGGGTTAGGATCCAGGGGAAGAAGGAAGGGCTTATAGATCTTCCAAACTCTCCCTGATTTGAAGGTACTGGTTATTCAGCAGTAAAAGCACTAAAATCTGTAGGTTTACTTCATCTGAAAGCTTCCGTCTTTTTCTACAGCATGGGAAATGAAGGAGGAAGGGTATCGGATGTTCCAGTCAGCTTCAGGAACAGGAACATAAAGGTAAAGCAGCCAGTGCAAAGGGATTGGTGTTTTGTTCTGTGATCTGATGAGGCACTCTGAAATGGGGCCATCTAGTCAACAACAGAGAAGTTTCTATTCTAACCTTCGAAGGTTAGAATAGAAAATGTGGGAATGTTGTAAGGTGGAAAGTGTTAAAGTGCTATTGATTTGCTTACTGCATGCTTGGCTTATCCTGTGAGTATGACCAGTTAATAAGAGAGGCTATTTCCTGCCTCATTGTCACTGTAGTTGGTACCTAGGTGAGCAATATATTTGCATTTCCTTTTTGTATTGGTTTTGCTGGGATAATAAGCTATTATAGTCCCTTCTGCTCCAGTGGGTTTTTATCAATTGCTTTTTATCAAGCATTCTTTTAAAACATCTTTCTCTTTGCCTCCCCTTTAGGCAAAACCCCAGAGCCCGGAATCTGGTTATCCAGAGGACAAGTGATCTACCACTTATGAAATATGTATTTAGCACTCGACGCACTCTTACTATGCATTACAGTACTTACTTATTTATCTGAGCGCAAGTAATCGCTATATTGTCATGTCATTGAAGACTTTCTATCAAGTTAAATTTTTATAGGGCAGTGATCATTTTATATGTATTTTTAATTTGTGAGAGTATCTATCTTACAGGTTTTTACTTCTGTGATCTATACTAGTGACATCCTGGGTCAGCAAGTATACTGCTACCTAGGGAACCACATGTTCTATGTTTTTTCATGTTGGCTTTTTGTGACAGCCAGTGAAAGAATTTCTTTGACATTCTAATCTTTAAGTGTGCTAGTTATCCTGAAGATGGCAGCAATGATGTATGATGGAAAAAAGAAAGCAAGCTATCAGCCAAGACAATGCTGGGAAAGAGCTGGTCCTAGCAAGTTATTTGACAAGTACTCAACTACATGATAGAGTCCTTTAGGCAGAAAGACTCCCTGGCTGGCACACTGGAGAGCACTCGACTCTGCAAGAGCAGTTATCTCCCTAAATTAAAAGGCTGGGTGGTTTGGCTCAAAACGTTCTCAACAGTAGAAAGTAGCTGAAGAGAATAATAACGTGGTGTTGCTCGCCACCTTGCAGCTGAACCTCTTCTTAAAGCTTCCTGGCCTATCTTGCAGGACTCTACATTGGCTAAGCAAAGCCATAGATACCTTTTGGGGATGAGGGGGGCTGTACCTCTAGCTGCATGTCTTTCTTTGTTACCAGAAGTGCCCATGGCATGGACAGCTGGGATCATGATTCTCAGTGGATGAGCTCTAAACCCATAGTTCTGTTCTGTGAAATGCTTTTTAATGCTGTATTAGTTCATGCTTTTTAAATTCCTTGTAATAAAATTTATGTAATTATGTCCCAAAACATTGTGAAGCAGAAATCTGTTATGTAACGTGACAGAGTAGAATGGATTGAAAGCTTTCTTTTAGGGCAAGCTTATTACCAGGGGCCAAATGCTAGGTCATGCAGAATCACTGCAACCTGGTCTTTAATAACAATGGAACATGAATTAATGATTACCTGCATTAGGACTTCATTGAACTCTGCTTTACTAAAGCTGTTTGTTAGCATCTCCTGTGCTCTAGCAGGAAGTTAGGGAAGCGGTGGTGTACAGGCTACAGGAGGCAGGTCTTAGGCTGATGCCCATAGGTGTCAGCTAAGACCATTAACCACCTGGAGCAGCTGGTGACCAGGGATCACTACCCAGTAGCAGGTCTTGGGCAAGGCTTTTATTAGAGGCCTTGTTGCATGCTGAATGCCAAGTCAGTGCTGCCAGCAGTGTCACACAAGCCACAAGAGTGGAACCATGCTAGTGATTGCTAATGTGATCTTGGTTCTAAAATAAAGACATTTTTACGGACGCTTCCACCAAATGTAAGCGTTTATTAATACAAAAAAGGCAGAATAAAGATATTAAAAACAGGTGGCAATCAACCTTGCACTGGCATTTCTGGGGACAAGTGCTATGGTAAGACGACAAGGGAATCTAAGCTCTCGTCTGTTCTGTGAAGGTTAACAGGATGCCTTGGTTCAAAAACTGTTAGTATGAAAAATACCTAAAACTACTAAGCTGACAACTTGGTTTAGTCTGCATTATTTCTCAGGCAAGAGAAATATTGCACTTTCTCATTTAAGAGAAATATTAGCCATTTTACTTGCTTTCCCTTTTGTACAAAATATTTACATTTCTGTTGCAAGTAAGTACAAACAAATTACAGTGTATCAGCCCATAAAAGTGGGATTTAAAAGCAGATAACCTGCAATTAACTTCTAGTAACGCTAATCCTCTGCATCAATGCAGCTTCAGAATTGGAGGACTTTGTATTTCCAGCCCCAAATAAGGACACAGAATACATCTAAAGGGATGTTAAGAATCTCCTTTATGCAAGTGTACACCGTATGGCCAAGAGCACTTGACAGGTTAATGTTGTGTAAGGTAGTACCAAGATGGACACACACCAAGCTAGCACTAATACTCAACTTCGGCATTTTTCCATTGTTTAGTATAATTTTACATTCTGAATGAATATATTTAAAAAAAAAATCATCACAAACCCATCTTTGCTTTGACAAACAAGCCTATTACAGACAATGTCAAGTTCATTTAAAGCACGAGGAAGTAACGATGATTAGAAAAGCTTAATTAAAGGCCATTTGAGCTGCAGCCCAACTGCTGCAGCACTTCCTTCCTAGTAACTGAAAGAAAATTCCCCCAAAACAAACAAAAAAAAAGCCAAAAGCCATAACCTAGCTCTTGCCAAGGGATCATGTTATATTCTTCAGAAAAAAACCCAAAGTAGATGAAGGTTATTTATTGTTGTGACATTTTTCCTGTAATAAGAAGCGTCATTTACACAGCAGGGTGTAAACAGCATTGACTAAAAGTTTGTTATTTGTAATCATAAATAATTAATTGTAATAAATATGTATCAAGTAACTTTACAGCACACTTTTCAGGGCCAAGATGCAGATATGTTTCACTCAAATGTGCTCTCTGAAAGGAGAAGAAAAACATTAGCAGCAGTTATCTTACTCACAGCTGTAATCAGATCATTGGAAAAGATTGGCATACTGAGTTCTCAAACCCCCTACTAGTGAGGTATTTGACTGCACTGCAAGTCCACTCAAAGTATTAAGGGCTTGAACTGAGAGATTTAAAAACAATATAAAATTGCAATTCAGACGCATCAGAAAGAAACCCAAAACGTATCCTTGTCAGCAACAATAGTTCTGCCGTGAAATTCAGTTGACGTTCTTCACATTTTCCTGTTCGGCACCTGTTTGAGAATGCACTTCTGAGATGGGAGTAAAATAGCTCCAAGCCGTTTATTCTGCTTAGTTTTCCCCTTGGTCTCTGTAAACTCTACATGTGTGTTTGCCCTTACTCTGAAATGATTTTTCAGCTACATATATGCTTCTACCAGAAAATGGACAGGATTCAAGGGTAAATATTATTCCTACATGTATCTGTTCCTTTGAAAGGGAAGTATGTAATAGAATGGTAACACAGCTTTCCTAACAACAGGATTTAGAGACTCTGTATGCCAACAACTATCTCTACAACTGTTGCACACACATTTTTCCATTCGCTCACCGAAGAACAAGAATATACACACTTGTTTAGGCTTTTCTCTCTTGCTCGCATTTTATCTTCCAAGTACCACACGCTCATCATTCCCAATATTCACAATAATATACAATAAATACAGCTTTTTCAATTCCCATTACCACTGACAAGCCAAATTAATTAGCGTATGCTGTCTTCTAAAGAGACATATAATACCAACCTTAAAGTACAGTTACACACACATCATCATAGACCTTTTGTGTGGCTTGATGTGCACTAAACACATCTGAAGGAAAATAACTAACTTGTCGCTCAGTACTGGCACTTAACTTAGATATAGTACGGAGCTGAGTAGCACAGCAGTAATTTCAGTATGATCTCTTTGATTCTTCACCGCACAGGCAATTGTCTGGTTCTAAGTGATTAACAAAGTAATGTCTTAATTTTCAGATGCACCCAGTACAGGGCCACACTTTTTTACATTAGTAAAGGAAGATGCATGTGTTGTTTCTTAAATCACTGCAGAACATATTTCACAAAATACAAAAGTTAAACTTACAGAACTGTTCTCTCTCTCGCTCTCTGGTCTGCCATTATCTTTCCATATAAAATAAAGCTATATCTTCAAATAAGGAACTTTGTGCCTTCTCCCCCATCCTCCTTTTGGGTGTCATATTTCTAGGATAATTTGCTCTTAAAGATCAATCATTTTTGAGTACAGAAACAAGTTACAGGTGTTTAACCACATACTGATTATTCTGAAAGCCTGTTCAGAAATAGGATAAGGTCACAGATTGTAAGCTTGAACTGTGGTATCTTACACCACACAGAGAGAAACCATTCCATTTCTGCTAATACTTTAGAGATAATAAAGAAATTATTTTGTTAATAAGCATAGCAGATATTCAAGGACATCTAGGGCAAGAACCCAATTGAATTATGGTCCTTTCACTGTTACGTTCTTTTAGTTATAAACTTTCTTAATTAAAAGTGTCTAGCTGAAACCCCAAATTAATTGTGGTAGCTACCAGTGTGCTTGCTTATAGTTAACAAGTTAGTTAACAAGAAAATGGTGGAAAGGTAAACATGCAGTTTGGCAGCACGTTTTCTGCTCCAAAACTCTAGGAAGTGCTAGAAGTTCTGCATGTTCTCCGACTGTGAAAGAAGGGGTACCGTGTTCTGCTCTTAGAGGTACCCAGGAGTGATTCCTCCCCCAACCCAGTTAATTCCATTTTTGTACTCAGAAATGTTTTAGGGAGAGTGATCTAGAATCCCTTACCTCTGAGCGCTCCCAACCTCAGAATGCTCTCAGTTGTGTTGTGTTTGCATGGGTAATATCGTTCTAAATTACAAAATTAGAAATGTATGTGTTTCAAGGTTTTTCAAAGTTAAATTATACACAAACTGGTCTTTACTAAACTATCCTACAAATATTCCACAAACAAGGCAGCAAAATAACCAGTCCACCACAAAAATCTACAAATACAAAATGTAAGTCTTCCAGTAATTATTGTAATGGGAACAAAAGTTCAGAAAATAAATTAACCTCCAACTTTTCACATAGTATAATGGAGGCTTTTTTTTTTTGTTTTATGCGCGTTGAAGGGTTTCCAACAGAGCTGAGTCATGAAACAATCCAGAGAGTCATCTTTAGTCTTCACCTTCTTCAGCTCAACCACTAAGCGGATCCTCCCTGTAGTGTATAGCATATCGGAGCTTTTCTAGCATTATGTCCAGAGAGGAGTACTGAGGAAGTTTGATCATAAACATGCATGTTTCAACACGGATGTACCGAGAGTCTGGAGAACCTGTAGGGGAAACAAGAAGGTATCTGAACACACCCTCCACTTTCACCTGATTTCACTCATTTTCCAAGAGTATCCTTCCCCCCAATGCCTGTTACAAACTAATATCGAAATAATAAAATTACTGTGTATGTGTGTCTCTTGAACCTTAAATACCACTGTCTTAGTCCTATCATTTTAAAAACAGAGACAAACATTATACAAAATCACTTATTGTCTCTAGAGGGCAATGCTGTAAGCAGTTTAAGCTTTTTAAGTTTTACTTTTGCAGAATTACATGGTTTGAAAACAGATTTTCTCTTTTCTCAATTACAGCCAAAACTACCTGCATCTCTTTTTTTCATTGTTTGTACATTAAATACGTATTTAAATTAAAAAAGGAAGAACTGAAAACCTAGAACTGCAAGGTGAGCAGAGCTGATTTCATTAGCCTTAAAAGGCAGCAAATCAACATACCTGCAGCTCCATCCGGGGGTGCAATTTTCATGGGGTAAGGTGGGACGTGGGCTGTATCAGGACCTCCGTCTTTGCAAGGACACGTGAATGGAATTCGCTCCTGGTTACAGGCAAACTTTATGAACTTACAGAGCTCCTCCTGAGTGAACATCTCTAATGCGCTCCAGAAAAACTCGATATGCTGATCAGTCTCCATCAAGCCCACCTGGTACATGGTATGTGCCTAACAAAGAAAAGAAAGCAGGCTGTCCACTGCTGCTCCCTTCTCTCCCCATAAACCTTCCCCGCTTAAAGTTTAAGAGGATAAAAGGCAACAGAAATTATGCCTCTCTCCCCAAGTCCTTCTGCCTGTTCAGAATAACTAGGAAATCCAGTCATGGTCTATACTGTTAATATACGGAGATTTTGTATCTTTTCAACCTATCTGCTTCTGCAACAGGCTTGTCGTAGTCTGTCTCCTCTGTAGTGCTGTTGGTGTAAATTTATTTTTCATCTACTTTGCAAGACTGAGGCAGTTTATAACTGCTGCTGTTATAAGGAAAATAAAACACAATGCTAATACCCCCAGTGAAGGATATTCTACAATTTCTGACACAAGAAAACTTTTTTTTATGGCATATTTCTTATGGTATCAAAATGAAAGTATTTAGGATCAAAAGTTGTGTGTTACAGATTATGTTTACATTTTTAGAAGTTATTTGCAATTCAAAATCGGGGCAGCAGCTCTTTCAATCCTAGCTCAAGGGGCAAATACTGAATAAAGCTCAATAAAATGGAAAGAGTTTTGAAATATGATGCTTAAAAAAAATTTAATTATTCCTCTCTGGGAAAAGCCACACTCTTATTTTTTTTCTGAACCCCATGACATTTTAAGAGCTTCCTTGGTAAAAAGGGGTGTCCCAAGTACAGAGCACTGTTCCATAAGGACCATCATAGCTAAACCACAAGCTGAAGGTTCTCCCCTAACACATTCCATGTGGAAAGGTCC